TCAAACCAGTGTTTTGAACTCTGCATCTGATAGATTGCTTATCTCCATTTTGTTTAGTTCTTTTTCTAGAGTTTTGTTCTGTTCTTTCATTTGGGCCATGTTTGTCTCTTCAAACTCTTTGTGTTTGTTTCTATGCATTAGGTAGAGCTGCTACATCTCCCTGGCTTGACAGAGTGGCCTAATGTAGTAGGTGTTCTGTAGGGTCCAGCAGCACAGCCTTCCCTTTTACCCAAGCTTGGTACTCAAGGGGCACCCACCATGTGGGGTGTGTACGGTTTGGATGTTTCCTGCATGGACTCCTCACTGCCTGCTCTGCAGGAACAGATCCTGCTCCACCTTGCCCCCACATACCACTAGGCTCCACTGGGGCCCCAAGCCAACCCTCCCATCTCAGCAGTTAGTTCAGAATGTCCACATGACCCAACCTAGGCCAATCCTCCCTAGGAGAACAGGAAGGATCCCTTTGCCTTTGGGTCTTAAGAGCAGAAGTATCAGAATCTGGGGTTATTAGGAGCCCCATCTCCCACCATGGGTAGAAATCCTGGCTCCTGTCAGTTTATATCACCAGGCACAGACAAGGGGCGGGGAGAAGAGGAGAGAGTGTCCTAATGGGCCTGAAACGCTAGTTCCTGTGGTCCCTAAAGCTGCCCTGTCCCACAACTCTTGTAGGACTCTGTGGGCACTATCAGGGCATAAGATCACCTCTTTGGTTTAAGTTAGTGTGAGTAGGGCCTCTGTCACTTGCAAACACAGATCCCCCACAGATACATAATCACCCCTACCCAATGCCTAACACTGCAGGGAGCCCACTAAGGCAGGACCATACCTGGCTTTAAACAAACGAGTAAATGATAGCCAAGACTTGGGGATGAGGCCACCTGATGAGGCTTCAGGAGGTCTATTCCACCCTTCCAGAATGTGAAGACCTGCTCACACCAACCAAGAGACATATGAGGAGAGGCTGAGTAATAGAATGCTCAATGGAAGTGCTCAGACAGGAGGGTTTTTCTAAAAGATATGAGAAAAAGTGAAGCATATGACCCAAGAGAGTTTGCTCTTGCCCAGACTGCCCACCATCAACCATCCCAAGCCTAGGTCTTCTCTCCGCACCCCGACTCCCCAGCCAGAATCTGGAAAGAGAGAGGTGGTAGTGAGGCTAGCTCCTGGGGAAGGGAGGGCAGGGGGGAAGGACCCATCATTTAGTTGCTTAGCACTGTCACACAGCCAGAATCCAGGGTATATCCTGACTGAGGCTGCCATCCCTCTAGCTCTAGGAGCAGGATGGAGCCTGCGAATTAGATGGGCAGTCGGGTGCCCTGCCATCCATTGAAAAGGGCTCTCAACCTGGGAGCTAGTCCAGGCCTAGCATTCAGAGAATAAAAATTTGTGCTTCCATGGAAACTACGTATTGTCCACAGCACACCTCTTAGCCTCACTTGAATCTGATTCTAGGAAACTTGTTTACAAGTGAGAGCACTACAGATAATAGCAATGCAAAATTCTTGTCTATAGGCATGCAAATTCTGTCTTCCCTTCCACTCTGTGAAAAATGTCAATATTGTCTCTACTTGCACATTCATTTCAAAATTCCTGATCTATAAATGTTTCTGTCCTTTGGTTCTCTTTGAACAGGTTATAACTTTGCCTGCTTCCCCCATTAATTAGTGAGTAAAGCAAAATCTTTAACACACACTGTTTTTATTTTATTTTTATTTTAGGCTCTTTAGCCCCACCTTTGGACCCAGGCCCCCAGCACCAGAGGGCCTCCTTGCCCCCTTCCCCTCTCCTGCTCCTCCTCCTCTTCCACCTGCTGGCTACTGGGGCCAACCTGGCTCTCCCACTAATGGGATTAGTACTCAGCTGTGTGGTCAGCTGTGTGGTCTTAGGTTGAGCCAGTTATTTATAGAGTGTGGGTGGGTGGTCCAGTGCTCCAATGAAGGAGATGTGTTCCTAGCATGGCCATCCTGCCTCTCTCCTTCTCTCTCTTTCTCTAACAGCCCCGCACGGTAGTTTTTGCTCTTTGAGTCCCAAACCACATGCTCTGTAAGGGATAGAAGCATTAATATCCAAACAAAGAGGTGGTAGGGGCAGACTTTCTGGCAGCCCCTCTACTCCCTGGGGCTCCTGTAATTGGAGCTGATTTCTACCCCTGCCTTTTGCTAATGCTGGCATTTCAGATGGAAATCTGCTCTCTTCCCCTTTTCCCATCTCAGTGGATGCTGGCTCCCTGGCTTCTCCCATACACACCATTAGCTTCCATACATACTGATCACCTATCAGGTGCTGTGCACTCTGCTGTGTGATGTTGGGGTTCAAAAAAGTAGAAGAAAAGTTCCTACCCTCAAAGGCCTCACCTTCAGACCCTTAGACAAAGAATGACTTATACACACATACTAAGAACAAATATATGGTTAGAACAATGGAACACCTAACCTGAGTGCTCGCTATGTGCCAAGAGTGTGCTAAATACTTTATACATATTTAACCTTCACAAAAAAACCAACAGCAGCTAGTATGAAAATATAGAGCCTTTTAGAAGATAAATATTGTAGCTGACACAAATTGGGCTGTGTGGCCAACCCAGAACAATTTCTCCAGTGGCCATCCTATGTCTAGTCCCCTTCTTCCTTTGAAAAACTCTATCTCCTTCTCCAACATAAAGTGATTGGTCCAAAGGGTGGTCATGTGACCCAAAGTTAGACCAATCAGAGTCCTACCCTGGGAATTTTTTCCTGGGAACCAGAGAGGAAACTTCTTTTGTCTCTGGCCACAGATCTGTGGAGATAGGAGTCAGCCTGATGTCATTAAAAGCCAGAATCTGTCACTTACAAAAGTTAGAGAGAACTAGAATGTCACAGAGAGAAGGGAACCTTAAAACAGCATCCACATAAGCCTCTAGTAATAGGTACACTTACAACCAGCTCCATCATGGCCCTCCCACAGATTGGCCCATGAACCAATAAATTACCCTGTTTTTCTTAATCTAGTTTGAGTTAGTTTTCTAACATTTACTACCTACAGAGTCCTAAGCAAGGCAGGTCTCTTGTGCAAGGTCACACAGCTAACAAGGGAGTGGCTGCATGCCCTCCTGGCAGTCAACTCGCCTACCATGTGGCCAGATTATGGACCCCAGATAGCACAGGCAGTGTTGTGCTGTTTTATCATCCTACAAATGTTTCCGGGGGCTGGCATGACCATGGAGTTGACACTTCTGTTCATCAACTGTTGAGTTTCCAGAAATGTGTTACCACTCCCCTCATGAGAGTCACACCATTATTATCCCCAACCACTTTTGAGAGCTTATGCTATGCAAAGTACCATGCTATGTGCTGTTTAATCTCCCCAAAACCTTGCATGGTAAGTATTGTTAATGCTGTTTTACAAGTGGGGAAAGGGACACTCAAGAACTTGCCCCCAAGGTCAAAAAAGTCAGACAGTGTGACCCCAAAGCCCATGCTCTTGGCCAATTCACTAATGGCCCTCTCTGTGCCATACTGTGATCAGTTGCACGCCACAGCCTCCAAGAACCGCCCATGTGAGACTGAGTGTAGGGTGATTCTATCCCAGCCCCGGCTCACCTGCAGTCATCTTTTGGTCTACATGAGAATGCAGCTGGCCAAATTCCTCACAGGCCTCAGGTCAGAGGACCCCAATCTTAAGGCCAGTAGAAGCCCACACAGGAGTTGGAACCTTTGGCTTTTGAAAGAGGCCCCGCTTGAATTATTTGGGACCCAATATGTCTATGGATCTTCCTTCTCAGCTCTTGTGTTCTGGATGAGTGTTTATGTTGAGCCGTTAAGCTGTCACCTGCAGACTCAGAGGTGAAGGCCCTGTCCTGTTGTCTCCTATTGATGTGGCATCTGCCCACCCACTCCATTGCTCATCTCCTCTGCCTGGACTCCACAGTGCCTCAGCAGGCTGAGCTGGGCCTGGCCCCGGCCCTAGCGTGCCACCCCCTCTACCCAGCTTCGTAGGAGAGAACCTGGGGTCCTGCCCACCTTGCCCAGCATCTGGCTGTGGCCAGCACAATGTCCACTGTAGGCCCCATTTTCACCTACATCAGCCTTCATCCTTCCCAGTACCTCAGCCACAGGCACCTCTGACAGAGGCCTCGTGCCAAAATAGAAACTGGGGGGCCCACCTCTGGCGCGTTCAACCTCCTTCCCTTTCTGGTGTCTGTTGTCTCCAACACTTTAGCGCAGAGGTGCCCAGCTCTGAGGTGCTCACAGGCCACGTGCGGCATGTAGGTAGATTCTGTTCAGCACTCACAATAGTTTTTATTTTAACATTTAACAATTGGCATATTTCACATAGATAACTGGATTTAAATTTTCCACAAAAGATTTTTAAAAAGCACTAAAAACAACCACATTTCTGACTTTCCTTGAAACACCTTTCTGTGACCAGAGCCCTGCCTGTCTTCATGAGAGCCACCAACAGCTGCTAAGTAGCCACCACCCACCTGGGACAGGGCACGGCTCTCCGCTTCGCCAGCCTTAAATTTGCCTGTGACCCTCATTTTCTCTGCTTGTCGGGTCTCTGTGAACACCCGAGGCCAACACTGGGGGCCTGAGACCACCCTCTGTCCACCCACTGGCAGATTGAGAACACTGGCCAGGATCCCAGCCTGGCATGGCAGCATTTCCTCCAGATGAGAAGTCTCAGGCAAGTACCAGCCATTCCTGACCTAGACTCTGAATGTGTCCAAGTCCGGAACCCACTGTCCAAATGCTCCAGCTTGCCAGGGTCCTGCGTGGCTGGCCTGCAGGCGCCCCAGCACAAGCATGTATAGCTGAGGTCAGGCTGGGATGGGTGCCAGGCCAACTCGGGCCCATTTCACCACGGAATCCACTGTCCAGCTGGACCAAGGAGCAAAGAGAGACTCCCCGAGTCCACCCAGAAAACACAAGCTGGAGAGAAACGGTGCATTCAGACCAATTCCAGTGGTCGCACCCTACCCCCTGCCCAACCTCCCTGTCCCAAGGCTCAGGGACACTCACGATGTTCATGAGAGTGAGGACGTAGTTCTGTACGTGCTCCTTGCCGTGGAAGCGTACCACTGAGTCGTCCACTGCCAGCAGCACCTCGATGCTGTAGCTGCCCGGCTTGGCATGTCGCCGCTTCCGCTCCACTTCTCCCAGCTGGCCCCCCACCAGGCCCAGCAGGTTGGGAAGGTCACTCAGGCCAAAGGCTGGAATGAGGATGGAGAGAGACCAATGTCAAATCCACATAAGGGGCTGTCACTGTGACACTGTCCATCAACCCACCCCTGCCCCTGTCACGTGTGCCCCTGTTCCCACTTCTGTAAACCAAGGCAGCATGAGGGTTTGTTCTGTACCAGGTCATTCATGAGCAGGAGCCCTTTTCTGGCACAGGGCACGGCTGTCTTTGAGGCAACGAGTAGCAGAGAAGTGAGAACTGACCTGGGTTCCAGTTCCTCCTCGGTCCTATCTCACTATGTATCCCAGCCAAGGCCTGCCCCCTCAATTCTGTGGACCTCCAGCTCCCCTCCTGTGACATGCGGATGGATAACCCTCGCTCTCTTGCCCCACAAGCTTGCTATAAAAATCAAAGGTGACAGCGGGTGGAAACATTTTGATTAAAAAAAAAAACTGTAATATTACTGTGGCCGATGCATGATACGTGAGGCACCCCTGGAGTATGTCCCAAGCCTCTCAAAACCCAGTCACTGACAGCTTCCCAAAATGTCACCAACACAGCTTTGGCCTTTTGGCTAAAAAAAAAAAATATTTATATAACTAGGATTTATTAACTTGTATTATGTAATCTAGGAGCTGTCAGACTTTTTCTGCAGATAGTAAATATTTTAGGCTTTGTGAATCATACAGCCTTGGTCTCTGCTATTCAGTTTGGCTGTTGAAGCATAAAAGATAATTCATAAACGAATGCGTGTATCTGTATTCCAATAAAACTTTATTGACAAAAACAAGTGGTGAGCCATTTTTGGTCCATAGGCCTTCCTTCTACCCAATCTACTATACCCAATCAAACCTAATCTAATCCAGTCCTTACAACTCTATCAGTTTATTGTCCCCATTATACAGGTAAACAAACTGAGATTCAAAATAGCTTGTCCAGGGCTGTCTGAATCAAAAGACCATGCTTTAAAACATCACTATGTATACTGCTACTTATCAAGGCAACACCTTAAACAGTTATCTGTCGTCTACACCATAGTATGAATGAAGATTGAAGAAACACTTGTTGGGACAGTGGAGTGAAGGTGCATGAGGACACTATAGGGAAAGCTAAGAAAGCAAGAGAGAAGCCTGGGGTCTCACAAGAAAGCTTCAAAGTCTTACCTTTTAATGATTTTCCTGCCATCCCACCCTGAAGTCCTGACACTGGTATTATTGATTTCTAAGGGCATTCATTTTATCTACAGCTATTTGAGAACCTCACAGAGAGTGGGCCAGGGGCCAAGGCTATAAAGATGCCGCCCCTAAAATCCTAGAATGTATCCAAGGACGCAGCTACAGGAGGGGCCCCAATACTTGTAAGTGGATGGTGGGAGCTGATGAACAAAGGGCCCTGCCCTCAAGCCCATCCTCTAGTGCAGGTGACAGATAAGATACCAGACTGTAATAATACAGTATGTCAGGGACTAAGTAGGACTGACTAGGAAAGGCTTTTACACCAAGTCGCAGAGCAGGACCAGGGTGTGGAGGGAGGCTTCTGGAGGACGGGACGTCTGAGCTGGGCTGGACAGGGAGCAGGACAACCTGCTGGAGCATAGGGAGCAGAGGGTCCTAAGCAAATTGTCCCTGAAAAATCCATTGTGTGCAACTTCATGAAGACATCATCCACAGTGCAGGTGACCCTCAGGGATGAATCAAAAGACACCTTTGCAGAGACCCACGTTCTGCCTCTAAGCCTCTGTAGACAGGGGTTCTTGAGGAACTAAAATCTGAGGACGGGGCCACAGGAACCACAGGACTCGGCGCTACTGTCTTTTTATCTTCCCTTTGGTTATGGAGCTATAATGCAAAGGGGAAAAAGCACTAGACTTAAAGATTGAAAAAAATGTGTGGCCACTGTCCTCCTGGGGAAACCAGAAAAGGGCGGCCCATCCTCTGCATGATCACAGTGGGTGAGCAGGGCTCAAGCTGGTGTCACTCTCACTTGCCCCTGAGCACACTGTGTCTTTCTTCGCAGACTGCACTACAGAAGAGCTCCTGGCAGCCCTGGGGCCTGAGCCCAACGGTAACCCACAGATAAATTCCTGGGACGGGGGAGGGAGGACCCCCAGGAGGAGAGGAGAAGGGACGAGGGCTCTCTCCATGGAGTGAGGGTAACAAGTAACAGTCACTCCCAACTTGTGAGCAGTGCCCAAAGGCTCAAATATGGCAAGTGAAATGTAGAACTTGACCTTCACAGCTCTCCCTGCCATGTCCGTCAAAGGGAAGCTCAGAGAGGTTACCTGACTCATCCCAGGTCACACAGCAAGTTAATGGCAGAAGCCCAGAATGTAAACTCAGACCTCCCACTCTCCCATTATCACTCCCTATTAGGGCACATCTGATATCTCTCTCAGCAAAAACAGCACGGGAAATTAGGGAGGGCCTACTGACGTCAGCGATAGGCCCTGGAGATGTTCCACCCACACCCTCTGCTATGTGTCTCTCATCGTTCAGGCCAAAATAGGCGACCCTCAAAATGTGGAGGGATGGGGGCAGCGGGCCACTCGGAGGGTTTTAGGGAGCCCACCCAAGAAGCCTCAAGAGGCTATAAAATGATGCAGCTGCTTTGAAAAACAGTTTGGCAGTTCCCCAGAAAGTTAAACATAAAATTATCATAGGACCCAGAAATTCCACTCCTAGGCATATACCCAAAAGAATCAAAAACATATGTTCCACAAAAACTTGTACACAAATGTTCATAGCATCATGATCATAGTAGAAAAATATGGAAACAACTCAAACGTCTATCAACATAAGAAAAAACAAAATGTGGTGTATCCATACAATGGAATACTACCTTGCCATAAAAAGGAGTGAAGTACTGATACAGGCTCCAACATGGAGGAGATGTATGTGCTAAAGGAAAGAAGCCAGTCACAAAAGGCCACATATTATATAATTTCATTTGCATGAGATGCCCAGAATAAGCAAATCTATAGAGATAGAGGGAAGGTTGGTGATTGATTGCCAGGGCGTTGGGCCAGAGGGAAATGGGAGTGGCTGCTAATTAATGGGTACAGAGGTTTTTATGGAAATTATGGAAATGTTCTTGAATTAGATAGTGGTAATGGTTACACAACATTGTGAATACAGCAAGAAACCACTGAATTGTACACTTTAATTAAAATGTAAATATGGTAGATTTCATCTCAATTAAAAAACAAAAACAAAAAACAGCAGCCCTGAGCCCCAGCCTGGCTGGCTGCCCTGGCATCTGGCAGCCCCAGCCTCTGGCCCGAGAGCCGGAACGCTGGCCACAGGCGCACATGGCCGACTGGCATTCAGGAAGGAAGTGGAGGGTGGGAAGAGGTGACAGAGAGCAGGACCATGGGTTACAGAAGGAAAGGGCTGCGCTAGGAGTATGAGAACATCCAGGGCACACCCTCTAAGGCCAGGGCAGAGTCCACGGGGAAGCCCCTGAGGGGCTGGGGTGAGGCCCCCTCACCCCTAGAGAGGTCCAGCTGAGGGAGTCTCTACCCAGGACGTGGAATGGTTTAGATTTCCCACCACAGCCCTTGAGAAAGAATCACTTAACTCTTCTTTGGAGCCCATCAAGGGTGTCGGGGGTAGGGTGAGTATGTGACTGTGGCGGGTAAGTGAGCGGGCAAGTGTCAGTGTGTGAGACATGTGACTGTGCGTGGGGGTGAGGTGAGACTGGTGTGCGTTGCATGTGAGGGAACGAGTGTGTACAGGTCACCGTGTCGGTGGGGGGGGTGTGCGTGCCCTCTTCGGGAAGCAGCGGCCAAGGCCATACCCTGAGTGCCAACGGGAAGAGTCCCCTCCACCTCCCCGGTTCGCCAGTGCCCCTCACACACCTCTACCGAGGGGCAGCTGGGAAAGTAGTCCGACGGGCCCCCGATGCCTCCATTCCCTCCACGAGGAAAGCTGGACACACCCCACGGAACAGCACAGCTCACGTGAGCGACTCTAACGTCACGAAGACTTGGTGTCTGTCCTTTAGGACACCCCCACCCTGGCTGGTTTGGAAGAGGGGGACAGTCTCAGGAGAAATCTAGGGGGCTGAGGGATCCAGGAGAGGGGCCACCTGAGCTGGGCTGACACCTGGGCAGGATGGGGACAGACAGAGATGGAGGAAGGCGCACAGTTGGGGGAAATTCCTCAGAAGCCTGTTTCTGGTGGCTAAGCAGGCGCTGAGCCACTGGCCCAGGCCTCTGAGGCGTTTCTCTGTGTGCCAACAACTAAACCCAAAGACCTGAGGTAAAACCTTTCATCTTCATGAAGAATGGTAAATGGAAGACAGGCGCACCCAGAAACGCTTCTCCACACACTGGGTTCAGACCCACTGGTGGTCTAAAACAACAGAGTAGCAGTCACAGGTTTCCAAGAAAGTCTTCCGGTGCCCCTTGTCTTTCTAAGAAAGGACCCAGATGGGCCCAGGGCAGGGCAGCACCCGCAGGCCCGCAGGAGTTCCAGCGGGCAGCCTGCTGAGAGGGAGTCACACCAGAGTCCCCGGGCCTGAGCTCCAACTCCGCCTGCTCAGCGGTCTCTGCTTCCCAGCCACCGACTGTGGCGGGTGATGGGGTTGGTTCCAGGCTCAGAGCTGTGAGCAGGACTTCCCTAGGGTCTCTCCCTGAAAGGGGATTTATGGTCTTTTGATTCAAAACTGGCCTCAAATAAAATGGATCCCAATGAGCCTAGTGGTTCCTCCCAGTCCTGATGTAGGGAACGGTGCCGGTCCCCACCCTGCCCCTGTAATCCACCCCAGCCCTCAAGGCTCCGCCCAGCCCCTGGCCCCCCTCCCCACACCCCAGGCCCGCAGAGCTCTCCTCTTGGTTAGTGGCGGTGCTGCGGCTCCTCGTATGAGGAACAGGGAGAGCAGCTGGAGCTTCAAAGGAGGCACTGTATGTGCGGACAACTGGTTTCCAAGCATTCCTTCACGCTATGCTCAACCCCACCAGGGCCCTGGCTGGAGGGTGTGGTTGCTCGTGGCAGGATTCCACCCAAGGTCTTCTCACGTCCTCTTGGCTGAGGTCGTCATGACAAGGCTAACTCGGACTGTGAGGTTGGCCATAGGCCCAGGACCAGCACATGTGGCATCCACGGGCTTCATTCGCTCAGCCATGGGTCCTAAGTACAGTGCTGGTCACCAGCGTGCAGGGATGCCCCTGCTCTCAGCGGTTCTCACCTTAACGTGCCAGTAGTCAGCCTAAAAACAATCCTTCATGGAGCACCTACTATGTGCCAAGCTCCGCTATCACTGGTACACACACTCTTAGAGGTAAACAGCGATCACCCCCACTTCACAGATTAGAAAATGAGGCTCAGACATGTTAAGTAACTTGCTTAGGGTCACACACTAGATAGCATTGGAGACAGGTCTCCAATGGTCTAGTGGACACCAAGCTGACCCTGATGTCCTGACACAGGGCAGATTCCCTACAAGTGGCCTAAGGACTTCCTGTGGCTTCAGGAGGTTGAGTTGAGTGTTAGGGAAAAGAGCTAACTGCAGCCATTCCACCTGCTACTTGGGCAGAGAAATGGCCTTGCAAAGCAATGCTGCAGTCCCAAGTTCCATAGTTCAGGGGGCTCAGGTAGCTCCCCTGGCCCCCAGCTGCAGCCAGTCATAATAGCCTCTAAAACCCACCGGGTACAGTAGGACAGTAGGTCTGTGTGGCCCAGTCCCGTGTTACAGATGAGAAGACTATGGCCAGGCATTGGGAGGTTTAAGGCCTGAAGTTACCTAAAAACACCATGGAAGTATGGACAGAAGCAGAGCTTGGGGTCCCGCCCCCAACCTACCTTCGTTGTGAAGGTCCCCTCCAGGCTCTGCCCACTCCTGCTGGGCGACTTCCCGACGGTACACCACGTGTGTCCTCCCGCTCGCCTCCTTGTCCTGCTGCCCCCGCTCTAGGGGCTCAATGAAGTAGTCGGTGACATCTGTACGGATGAGGCCCGCCTGAACCGGCCACACAGTACGCAGAAGGGGGAGAAAGAAGAAGCATGAATACATAGCACAGTAGAAGCGAGCATTTGTGAAGGCACACGTATGCGACCACATGTGTGTGACCACCCGTATGCAGTGTCTTCTTCCAGGGCCTTGTGGAGCTCTGGGATCTGGCAGGCAACTGGGAGGGGTTGTAAGGAGCCTGTGCAAGGGAGCCCGTGCCGATTTCAGGAAAAGCAGACCCGCTTTTACAGTGTTGGGTCCTCATGGGGCTCTACATAACGCTTCATGTAAACAGAGGGTTCCGGTGCTTAAAGCGGGGAGCCGCTGCCATGGGGGACGTGCACACACACCAGGGCACCACCCTCCACCCTGAAGCACTGACACTATCACACAGGTTTGCCTTTGCCTGCAGGCCGAGGGGGAAACCCTACCAGAAAAGCTTCATCATCTCGAAGGTGGGAGCTGGTCCCCGACTCTGGTACAAAGTGCTGTTATTTCAGATTTAGAGCATGTGTATACAGGCCAGGGAAAGCAGCTGTTTGCTGACTGTAAATGAGCCAGCGTAGCGCCCCGGGAGTGCGTGCTCTGTTTTTAATCTAATTTTTTGCTTGCATCAAAATAGTCTCTTTAAAAAAAAAATCAGGTATTGGCCTTGGAATACAAACACATAGCCTTAGCCAAGCCAAGCCCACATATTATTAGGCCCCAATGAAGGCAATAATCCCCGGGGCAATGAAAACTATAACTAGGTGTATGTGAACGTGTGGGCAGCAGCCCAGCCCTCCCCTCAACACACACATGTGCATCAGCCCTGTAAAAAGAGTAAGACCAGCCCTGCAGTGCCTGCAAAATGGAAGGCAATCCTTCATAAATATAAGTATTTGTTGAATTCCCTCACTCCTTCAGCAAATATCTGTTGAATGCCTACTGCATACCCACACTGCTTCAGACACTGGGAATACTGCCGTGAACACGAGACAGTGAATAAAGAGATTGTTTTTATAAATCTGCTGGACCTTCCCCGTCCAAAGAGGAGCGCGTCCTTTCCAAGCAGCCACTTTATGAAACCAAAGTCCACCGGTTTTCCCGCCTCAGCCTGCTTGAGATTGCGTCTTAGGGAACCCCCTCCAAGACCTATAGAGCACTCCCCACGGAGCCTCCCAGCAACAGCCAATCTTTTTCGTGTGCCTTCCAGCTAGAGCTGTTGGTCAAACTGAAAACACCATTTTGGATCAAAACCAAGATGGCTGCCTTCTGCGTCTTATAAACTGACCCATCAGGAGGCTAAACACGTTCTAGGGAAAAAATGGCAGCATTATACCTGAATAAGTTTGGGGCTTCCCCAGGTAACCATTTCGTGAGGCAATACTCTATTGTCTGCATAAGTTTGGGTCTGATTCTTAAAATGTCAACATCAAACCTGCTATTGTGCATACTTTCCTTTCATCCAGAGCGATTTTACTTTTTTACTTTGGCACCTAAGTGCCAAGGGCGGGGAGGAACAGATAATAAATAAAGCTGAGCTTTTGGCTGTGAGTTGCTCACCACCCAGAGGGAAGGACCCGCAGAGGAGCGGAGCATGGCCACATGCTGGGCTCCATGCTATGGCGGGTGGGTCTGACTGAAGGGTGCGTTTCCATCAGGCCCTTGGGTGCAAGGGGCAGACATTCAACTTGAACCCTTTTGGTCCCCAGGGCAGTGTACTGGCCCCATGACAGACCATGGCAGGGGCCGGCACTCAGCTCCCTTTCCACCCCTCCTCTCGGCACCCTCTGCAGCAGCTTTGTTCTCCCAGAAAAAGCTCTGTAGCCCACTCTTGTGGACACATCTCCACCCCGCTACCAGAAACAAGGAGACTCTCCTTTCATAGCCCCATCTGCAACAGCCCAAGGGAGACCGTGGTTGGTCCAGCCTGAGTTGCAGGGTCACCCTGGGAGTCGCAGTCCCTGCTACACCCCCATGGCCAGCAGAAGGGTGACGACTGCCTCAGAACGGTGAAGCTGTTAGGGAGGCAGAAGAAGCCCACCTGAGCTGGAAAGGGATGCCAGGTAGGGGCCTGGGCAAGAGCGCGGAAGCATGAAGGCCCTGTGGGGACCCAGGAGGCATTCAGGCTCACTGAGCCGGAACCTGGACAGCGTGGTCAAATCAAAGGGCCCCTGCCTCTGCAGCCCAGCAGAACCCCCGCGGGAAGGCTGTCTTCCAGGGAACACAGGGCCATGAGGCGGAAGCACCCAGAGCATCCCCTACAAAGCTACTGCAGCTCTGTGGCCACGAGACTTGTGAGGGGACCCTCAGCCAAGCCCCACACCCATCCTATCCCCCTTGCTGTACCCCGTTCTGATACCTGGCAGGATTGTTCTGCCTCTGTTCAAGGCCCAGCAGAGCAAGAGATCCTCACAGCACAAGTCAGGCCTGTGCTTCATCCAGGCGAAAGTCACACAAACCCAGGCTTGCCAAGCGCTGCAGCCTTGGCTGCCTCTGCCCGTAACACCTCCAGAAGCAGCCTGACAGTAGAATTCTCCAGGTCAGGGGGCAGAGGACCCCATTCAGCCACCCCCCGGCACTGGGCCACCTAGCATGGCCCTCCTCCGTTCTGGGACTTGGGTAACCAACCACACAAAAAGGATTCTTCAAAATCTGGCATTTCCTGCCTCATCACCTGGTGACTCGATTTAGCCACCAGCTCTCAGTACTTCATAGGAGGGATGCAAGTTTCAGAATGATCCACATGGCCCTGGGGTGGGCTGCAAGGCCCTGCCTCCCAGCCCCCTGGCCCCCGCCACAATCATAAACCACACCAACCTTTCAAGATCATCATGCCTGTCCCGGTTTGTGGCTTCAAAACCTCAGTAACATGGCCAGCTAGGGGACCCCTACCTTTTGTTTGGATGCCTCTAGTGATAGAGGGCTCCCTCCCTCAAGGTATAATCTTTTCTGTGTAAGGACACTCACAATGTTTATTTAGCTGAAACTTACCTACATGCTACCCTTTACAGTGTTATAATAACAGGATCTGCCACTTATATTTACAGATCTTATTTGGTCTTTACAACAATCCTATGAGGTAGCCACAAATGTTAGACCCATTTCATGGATAAGGAAACAGAGGTTCAGAATGGTTAAATAACTTGCCCCTAGTAGCCTAGCCAGCGATGGGACCAGAACAAGAGCCCAGCTCTGTGTGGCTCTTAACCACTAGGCTGCTATTACCTCAGGCCACCCCGGGGCCCTGCTTCTGCCCTTGAGGGCCCCTTGGAATGAAGAAACTTTTCTTTCATAGTCCCATTTGCAAATCCCTGGGCCTCTGGTCTGGTCTGACATTGCAAAGCAAGCAAGATGTTCACTTTCCACCTCTGGACAAAAAAAAGCACAAACAAAAATACCACTCCCCTGGACGCCACTCCTCCCCCCACCATGGGCTGAGGCGGGGGAGAAATTTCAGCACAAGGCCGGCCAGGAAAGGAGCAGAGCGCTTTCGCCCCCCAGGTGACCTGACCCCAACCGGAGAGGATTCTCACCCCACACACCATCCTCATCACACCCTCGGCGCTCCCCTCCCCGAGCAGAAGTCCCAGGGCTCCTGAGCCTGGTCCAGCCCCCACACTACCCACCGACCTCTTCCCAGAGAGGGGTGAAACAGCCTCTATTTCCCCACCCCGGTTTAACTGTTTAGGGCAAAGGCAATCCAGTAATATGCAACCTGGAAAATAAGTTTCAAGCGCCTTTGTGATTGTGGGTCCAACCAGCCCCCACCCCGGGATCAAGGACAGAACTTCCCCAGCAATTTTCCTTGTCCATTTTGTGCATCGTGTCCGGTCTTGACAGGCAGTTCTTATCCAGGCCTGGGTGCCCCTTCAGCCTCTGAGGGGATGGGAAGGCAGGCCCAGCCACCAGATCAGGCGGCAGGCTGGGCCAGTCCCTCACACGAGGCCCTCGGCTTCCCCACCTACAACACGAGGGGTTTGGCCCACGATCCCCTCCAGCTCTGGCCTGGCCAGGAAACCAGGCCCCGCGCAGGGCAGACAGACTGGCAACGGGAACTTTCTGGCTCCCTGCCTCCTTGCCAAATTACTCCCGTCTCTCAATTTATGAGATGTTTATGTTTCTGAAAAGTGGTGGCTAATTTTAAAGCTCTAAAATCAACTCAGGTTTCTGTATAAGAAGCACAGGAGGGGTGAGATTAGTTCTGGTTAGTTGGAAAAGAAATGTCAGCGGTATCTGTTTCACCCTTACCTTATTCTTTTGGAAATAATAAGTAGAAAATATATATTAGAAAGTCTCTTTATGCAATACAAACAACAAAAAATAGCTGGTCACATCCCATTGAGCCACGCACTATTCAGGCCCTCAGTTCTACTTCTCTAAGTGGAAACTCTCCAACAGGCAGGCCTGGAGAGTTGCGAAGGTGACGCCTTCTGCTGCCTCTTCCTGCAGAGGCCCCCAGGCCACGCTAACTGAGGTTTTGCAGTCCTGCTTCCCCTCAGGGGAGCTCCCAACTCCAGAGTGCATTTGCAGGGCGAGTGAAGGCAACTTGTCAGGAGTCACAGGAGAGGTGCGTGCTGGCTTAGAAACCACCTCGTGCCCCGCCGTGGGTCATGCCTGAACAAGTTCAATTGTCACCAGTAGCTATCATCAGGGGGAGGTCCCAAATATTTTAGCAGATAACTGAAGCCATATTATTTTGGAATTAGCATGTACGTGCATAAACAAACATATTTATTCTAAGGTTGCATGTAAACTGCGAGGCAAGGATACAGAGCCAGCAAAGAGATCTTCAGGGAGATCCCAGGAAGACATCCCCCAAAACTGGAACACATGTCCTTGATGCAGAAGTCTAGGCTTGGACAAGGGCAGGGCTCCATTTGTGCTGAGTCAAGTGCAGAGACAACAGGCAAGGACCCAGACTGGGGCCCAGACAGGGCAAGTGGCATGGCTCTGAGAAGATAGCTGGGCTCTGGGACGGGGGGGATCCTGAAGCCACATTTGTACCTGTGGATTCGCAAGCCCTT